CTAGCTCACACATCAAGCCTGGTCCCCAGCCACCACTCCTGGATCCACTCAGACTGAGGGGACTACATCACCATTCCCTGTCTGAAACAATCAAGGGACACCCTGCAGGGCAAGGGAAGCCCAGAAACAATGGCCACACTTTACGCACTGGCCCTGTCTGCACAGCCTGGCAAAAGCCCTGGCCCTCCACTTGGCTGGCACTGGTAGAACAGACACATGGGGTCCAAGTTCAAGATGAGGTCCAGGGAAGGAAGTTGTTCCTCAGTTCTCACTTGTCGTGCAGAGAGGCACACCTGACACCAGAGAGCCCTGGACTGCACATGCAGGGTCCAGCCCTGCGGGCCAGCAGCTGGCAGACCCACAGGGCTCTGGGAGGACAATGAAGTGGCAGGCTCTGCTCAGAGCTCCTGGGAAAGTGCAGGAGGCCCACAGGTGTACCTCCAATCTGGGCTTTTCCTGCCCAGTTGTCACCTTGGCCCATCCTGATTTCTGACCTGTCCATTTGGGTGTCCCAGGCAGTGAAAAAACAGACCCTCCAAGACTTCCAGAACTGTGAACATGCTGTGTATGCACACTGGATGTCATATGTGTGCTTTATGTGCTTCCTGGGGACCTGGCATGAACTACCATGCTTTCGAACTGAAAGGCTCTGCTCCATCCTGCAAGCCCCACCATTGGCCATGCAGTCACAATGCCTGACTTGGATCACGTGGCTTTTCTGGCAGGTCCTCTGGAGTGGTGGGGTGCCTTGTGCCAAAAGCCCTGCAGAGCCTAGTGCATCTGTGCTGGGAGTATGAGGCCCACCCWCCTCAGCAGACTGCCGGCCCAGTGCTGGAGCCCAGAGCCAAGCCCCATGGTCCACGAGCCTCTCCTCTGCCTCCCACTGGGACTGGCCTTCCCTCAGCCCACCTCCAAAGAACAGATGTGGGTGTTTGAGCCCTCTGAAGGCTAGGTCACTAGGAGGCCCTTCTGCATCTTACATCCCCAGCCCCTCAATGCCAGGCTCCAGTATGGCTTGGCAGGTGCCCATCAGAAGCTGCTCTTGAGCCCAGACATGGACAGAACATCTGAACAGGGACCTCACTGGGTGACATGCTGTCACGGTCCCCACTGCCAACGGGCCTGGACCTGGAGCTCTATCCAAAGTTCCTAAGTGTTCACAGGAAGCAGCTGGGAATTGCAGAAGGCACTAGGGCAGGACTCCAGAGCCAAGCTGCCCCCACGTTCTCTGCAGGTGCCCCATGTGCAGGGTGCAGATTAAGGTCTCCTGGCCTGGCAGCGCGGCAAGAAGCCACCTGGAGAGCCCTGCGGACCACCACTACCACCCTGCCTTGTAGCCCCTGCGCGCACCGGGAGGGACTCACGGCGGGGGCGTCGGTCGAGGTGTAGCGCAGGATGACCTGGAAGGGATGGTGCGCCTGCAGTTCAGGCGGCAGAGTGACCGTGAGCGAGGAGCCATAGTCGGTGAACGGGTCCAGCCTGAAGGCCAGAGGGCAGGAGGCGGGCTCGGTGCCTGGACCCTCGGGGAAGGCGGGCAGCGGGGGCGGCGGGGGCCCCGGCCCCGGGGCGGGGAAGGCGAAGGCGCAGGACGTCTCGGCGGCGGCGGGGGCGCGGCGGAAGGCTGCCGAGTGCAGGCGCAGGGCCGGGTGCGCGTCGAGCACGAGCGCGCGGGGCGCGGGCCGCAGCGCGCACAGCTCGAGCACCAGGCAGCCAGCCAGCTCGCGCGCCTCGGGCCGCAGCTCCAGGCCCAGCTGCAGGTGGCGGAGGCGGAAGAGCTGCGCGCTGGAGGCCGAGGCCACGTCCAGGGCGGGCGGCGGCTCGGGCGGCGGACGGGCGGGTGCGGCCTCCGCGCCAGGCGCCTTGCGGCAGCAGCACTGTGCCGCCATGGCCGCTGGCGCTAAGTGAAATCCATGTGCTGCGGCCACGCCGGGCCGCGGGCGGCGGGCAAGGGGCGCCGGGCTGCGGCGGCGGCGGCGGCGGCGGCGGCGGCGGCGGGGCGCGGGCACAACAGGAAGTCGCGCCGGGAGCCGCCCGGCCCGGCCCCGCGCCGTGCGCCGCCCCGCTCGGGCTCCGCTCGGCCGCCGCCGGGGGCGCTGTGCGCGGGGCCCGGGCCTGTGCGCCAGCGGGGCGGGCCGGGCATCGGGCGCCGAGCGATGAGTGGAGAGGGCGCAGGAACCAGGACGCTGTGATCCCGGGCACTGTGTTGTGGGCTAGGGGCCCCGGCGCGTGGGGTACCTGTGCGCGCTCTCCAGCCCTGCTCTCTTCACTTTCCACCTGGCCGCGCAGGGGAGACTCCGGAGGCGGGGTCACCGCTCTTTCAGTTTGTAGCCGGCCAGCTACTGCAGCGGCGGCTACTGAGCCAGGCAACACCTGGGGTACCGGGAGGGTTGTAGCTTGTGTGGTCTGTGTCCGGGGAGTGCAATGTCGGGAACTCGGCGCTGACTGTCTGTTCTGGGTGCAGGCCCTGGGAGTGATTCTCGTGGTCCGCGACCCACCTACTCGCGAATCAGACAGTTGGCCTGTGTCTGGCACGCGGTGTTAATAGAGACCAGGAGCTTCAAGGATGAGCTAGCAAGTACCACAGCCCTTGCGTGTGTGGCTGTTTATATTTAAATTAAGTACAGCTGTCACTTACACAGCCGTATTTCGGAGTCTACCTGTGTGTTGCAGTCAGGGAATGGACAGCGGACGGGAAATGCTCCCATGGTTAGGGAAAGTTCTCTTAAGCCGGGCTGCCTTAAAAACTGGCCTGGCTGGAGGGCAGACTGTTTTGAAACTGCATTCTGTGCTGCTCAGCCACTTTTCCCAGGGCCTGCTTGTACTAGGCCTGGACTCAAGAGACCTTCTCACCTGGCGGGGTCTGCCTGGTGCCCAGCACTGGCTGTGGACAAGGGTGTGAGAACGCAGGTTCTTGGAGTGTCTTTTCTCTCCTGCTGGATCAAGGTGTGCCTGTTCATTCCTAGGTAGTGCTCAAGCTGTCTGGACCCAGTCTTTCAACTGTAACCAACGTGGCCCTTCCTGCCGCTCTGGTGGAAAGACCCCTTCCCAGATGTGGCGTGTGAGCGCTGAGGCATCCCTTCACATTTCCTGTGGCTCCTCAGGTCTCCATGTGGCCTCTTAGCTGGGGAGCACTCCAAACTCCAGGAACCCCAAGGCTCTGTCAATGAGACACAGAGGTCAGCCCTGATCCAAGACAAGAGGGAAGAGAACTGAGGTGGGATCACTCTTGGCTGCCTTTCAGGGATCAGTTACCTGGGGTCCCAATACCCTGCCCAGGTGACAGCCCTGGATTAGACTGTTTTAGATGGCACTGTCAGTTCGGCTCATCTTCCAGACCCCACCCTGGCTAGTTGGCCTGGGTCTGGAAGTCTTCAGGCCCTTGTTGCCCTTCTTGCCATCAATGGAGCATGGGATCCTGCCACCCTAGTCTCCCCAGTTGGACTGGCGGGGGGCAGGGGTTGGGGACTCATCCCTTCCCTCCTGGAGAGCCCTGGTCACCTCCCCACAACTGGTTCTGCATGTTGGGAGGGTGGAGTGGGGCAACCCTGCCAATCCAAAGGAGCTGTTCTTTCTCTTCCCTAGCTGGGCAGGGCCGTGCCTCCATACCACATTTATAAGGTGCTAACACAGGAAGTCTTTTGAGACAAAACACTGTGATTATTGAAGTCAGCCCACCAGGACACCTTGCAGGTGCTGGAAGCTCTATGTGACTTGGGAAACCAGTAGGCTGCAGAGGCAAGCCCATAGGTGCCTCCAGTAGCGCCCCTCCCAACCTGAAACCCCACCCCCACCAGGGCGACTGCCTGGATTGCCCCCTGGCTGCTGGACTCAGCATTGCACCCTAGGTCCCCTGCGGTTTCATCCTGACTCAAGAGAAACCTGAAATCAGGACTGCCCCTGGTTTCTCCCAGAGGAACTCCAGCCTTTTGGTGATCAGGGTCAGTGAAGCAGCTCTGACAAGCATGCACCCAGGCATTCTAATGTACAGATGTTCTGCCCCCTCTTAACCTGGGCGGGCACCCAGGGGACCAAGTGGGTCCCTGGTCTCACTAGGAGGTGGGTACCAAGATGGGCAGGGCTCCAGCTCGCTGGCAGGACAGCAAAGGCCTCCAGAAGGAAGCAGTATTCATTCAGAAGGGCCTTACTATCCTTGGGACAGGTGCTGGGAGTCTGATAGGAGTAGCAGCTGGATAGCTCTGCAAATGGAACTGTTGGGATAATGTCTGAAGTGACCTATAAATATTCAGCCTTGCCTGAGCCTGTGGCTCTTCTACCCTTGTCACCTAGAGCAGGTCAGGGGGTGTGTCTAGCCCTGATGAGAGGGTGCTGGAGGCCTCACTGAAGGTGTCATGTGCAAGGATCATCCAGGCACACTAGGTAAAACCCCGGGCCAGGTTCCCCTTCCCAGCAAGCACTGCAGCTGAGCCAGCCAAATGGAGACAGGTCAGTAGCAACTACAGGGTTGATGGGAGGGTGGAATGGCTATGAGAGACCAGGGGACGCAAGCCTGGACACAGGGATGGACATTGCTGACAAGTAACAATGAGCAGGGTTGGGTGGCACCCTACACAGCAAGAAATCTAGGTCCAGGTGTACAGGGGCAAGGAGGGGTGGGTCCCTCAGTACTACCACAATAATTTTCACAAATTATTGTGAAACTGCTTCCTGTCCTTCAGTTCATTCCGTGGGTGGAAAGCTGTAGACAAGTGTCCTCTTTGCAGGAGGTTGACACCACCCAGCTATTTGGACTCCTCAGAGGCAAACCCAGGGCTGCTCTGCAGGGCGGGGACTGATTCTGACCTTCAGGGAGTGGTGCAGCTTTGTGCTGATCATGAGGCAGGAGGAAGATCTCCAGTGCCCAGGCTGTGTGATACAGGTGTGTAGGCCACTGCGCCCCAACGGAAGAGCAGAGYCAGGAGGAGCTGAGGCTCTGGACGAGGGTAGAACAGTGAAGGAATGGAGAGGCACACAAACACCAACTACAGCACTTTACTCTTTGCTTTATACATATTAGCCAAAGACTGCAGTATCTGTAATTCATGGAATCACCGAGTGCTGTTCTCCTTCCCCACTATCTTATTTAAGGAGTGTGGACTGTGACTAATTTCCTAGGAGTTTAAAGGCCAAAGAACATCAGATGGCCTATCTGAACTAGGAAGTCCATCCTCCACAAGGAGGCCGCAGAGGGCTGCCTGCTGCTGGGTCAGGCGCCACCTTGACAGGCGGAGGAGGCTTATCCAGCCTCCCTAAGCACTGAGGCTCCAGCAAGTCCAGCCTCCCTAAGCACTGAGGCTCCAGCAGGCCTGAGCAGCGCATGCCCTCAGCTGTGGGTCCTGCGTTCAGCCCTGGGAAAGGGCAGGAGGAGTTCTGGCAGCTGGGACCCGGTCCCCGTCCCCACCTCTGGTTTAGATTTGACCAAAATCTACGAACAAACGAAGCTGACCAAGGGTGAGAGGAAGAGATGGTCGGTCTTGGCAGCGGCTTCCCAGTCCCCTCCTTTGAACTGCACTTCAGGAAGACGCGGCTTGGGGGAAGTGGAGCCCGGCCGCGGCGGTGACCAGGGCACGTCCCGCCTCTCGTTAGCAAACGCCCTTCCCGCCCGGCTTCAGGAGAAGGCTACCGCGCGGCTGGCTGGGGTCCATGTCGCGCGCTTCCGGGGTCAGCGGGCTCCCGGGCCTGGCGGGGCTGGCGGGGCTGGTGTGCCTGGTGGACCTCGCGGGCCTGGTGTGCCTCGCGGGCCTGGTGTGCCTGGTGGACCTCGCGGGCCTGGTGTGCCTCGCGGGCCTGGTGGGCCTCGTGGGCCTGGTGGGCCTGGTGTGCCTCGCGGGCCTGGTGTGCCTCGTGGGCCTGGCGGGCCTGGGCCTGGATGATCTGCTCGTACTTCTCGAGCTGACACCAGAAACCCGGATTGGGTTCGGCTACCGGGCGGGCGATCTTGACAGTCTGCGAACAAAAGAGGAACCCAACGTCAGCCCGCGCGGGTTTCGCAGAACTCCGGCCCGGGCCACGCCAGGCGAGACCAGCCGCGCGGAAGGCCCGCCCCTGAGAGCAGGCCCCGCCCAGCTAGAAGGCCCGCCCCCGAGTCGACCCCGCCCCGGCCGGGGAGGCCACGCCCAGTCAAGCCAGAGGGCTTTCTCTGGGTGGGCCCCGCCCCCTACCGGAAGACGCACCCTCGAAGCGGGCCCCGCCCCGGAAGCCCCAACCTGAAAGGCCCGTTCCAGGGAGAGGCCGCGGTATCGCATGAGGTAGGCAGTGCAGACCGCGGCTGAGCGGCTGCGACCGTTCTTGCAGTAGACCAGGCAGGCGCCACCGGCGCGCACCGCGGCCTCCATGGCGGCACAGGTGGGTTCCAGATGCACCAGCAGGTCCTCGTGCGGGTCGTCGAAAACGGGCACCCGCAGCTCGGCCACTCCGGGCGCGCTTGGGCCGGGCTGCAGGCGGGAGACGTTGACACATAACGTGATGCCCGAGCGCTGCAGCAGTTCCGTGGCGCCCGCGGCGCGCGCGTTTCCGAGGAAGAGCGCGGGGGCCACGAGCGTGAACGTCGGCGGCGCGACCTCGGGGGACCTGCTCTGGGCAGCTCTTTCCGGGCCCATCGCGGTGACCGCCCCGAGGGTCTACTTAGGGCCGATGTCCCGCCCGCGCCTGGGCCCGCCGGGCGGGGTTAAGGTTAGGGTCAGCTGCGGGTGGCTAGGGCGGGACCTAGCATTGGCCCTCTGATTGGGCGTGGCTTGGGCGTGGCCTGGCATTGACTCCGATTGGCCGTGGCGTGGGTGGGGCCTCGCTCCCGCTTTCTGATTGGCGGAAGGCAGGCGTCTCAGGACCCCACAGTGTTCCCTACTAGCTTGAGCCATGCGGCCCTGTGCTGGAAGGGTGGTTGGTAGACGTGGACATGGACTGGATCGAGTAGCAGCTAATCCAACACTGACCGGCGTCCTTCTGGCTTTCATCAGGACCTCTTGGTTGTCCTATGGGCTATTGACAGAAGGCCACTTGGTTTCCTGTGGGTTTTTTTTTTTTTTTAATTCTCATCAGGTATACATGACAGCAGAATGCTCTTTGATTCATTGTATACAAATGGAGCACATTTTTTCACTTCACTGGTTGTACACGAAGTAGGGTTACCTTCATGCAATCATACATGTTTCTACGGTAATGATGTCCTCCTGTGGGTTTTTGTTATTGTTGCAGAGTTATACCTTTATCTATTTCCTAATAAATTGTCCTTTGTCATCTTTGAGTTTATTTCCCTTTTTATTGCAAAACATGGTTCATATAAAGTAAAACTATTTACCATTAGCTTTTTGTCATTTCTTCATAGGACGGGATTATTTCTGTTTTTCTTAATAACTTTAGGCGTTAGCCCTGTGACTTTTTAAATTTATTTAGAGTCTTTTAGGATTTCTTCATCCCAGCGTTGTGGCACATGAATGTAATCCCAGCAATCCGGGAGGCCAGACAGGAGCATTGCAAATTCAAAGCCAACCTCAGCAACTTAGTGAAACACTGTCTCAAAAAGAACTGTTGATATTGCTCAGTGGTTAAGCATTCCTGCTGGGTTTAATCCTCAGTATGGAAAAAACAAGAAAGAGAAGATCTCTTGAGTCGATTTTTCTGATATTTAGTATTTCTCAGGGAACAGTCACAGCGAAGAGCAACTTGTAGCCTCACAGACATTTAGTTAATTGTAGTTTCAATTTTATTGTAATAATAGTAAAAATAGTTCCTCTTCCTCTCTGTGCTTTGCTTAAGATTTGAAATCATTCTGCCAGAAATCATTCTTCATCCTTCCCCCAACCTAGTCTTACATATATCACACAAAATGTGTCTGTACAGTCTTCTGGTGGTCTGCATTCTCTCCTGCAGGTACCAATTGTGGATAACTGGTCAGATCGTTATGGCAACCTGGGTCCCTTTTGAGCTAAATACTCAAATATCTTGAAGCCAGTCTTCACTGGCTGCAGTCTCATTCCCTGGAGGCCTTACCAGCATCCATTTCCCTCTTCTCCATCCCAAGGAAGGGGCCTGCTTTCCTGGGATGAGAAGGGAATGGTATCCCCCTAGAGTTCATGGGATTCATCAAATGAGATGGAGATTCCCCGTCTACCAGCTCCAGGAGAGGTTCTGATTGCTCCTGCAAATCAGTGAAGGCCATACTCTCTTCACTGCTGCAGGATTAGGTCTGGTCTCTGATATGGGCCAATAGGAGGGAGGAATTGGGAAGGCACCTCTGTTCTTAAGGCCAAAAGGGGAAGTCAGCTTTAGGGGAAAGCAAAGGAAATGGGGAAAATTGGATCACAGCATCCAACCAAACCTGAAAGCCCCTCAGCTCCTTACTGGAGGGTGTTTGAGGTGGGTTTTCTGTTCTAAAATCTCCTTTGTCAGACTTCATTCCTGTACCCCACTGAACTAACAGACTGGTCCCCAAATTGTCCCAAGTGCCACCACCTCCATTGCCATGCTGTAGTCTAAGTCACTGGAGATCTGGCTCTGGAGCCCCCTCCTGGCTGCTGAGGTACAGCTGGAACATGCCTTCTGTGGTGACATTCCTGGAGATTTGTTCCCACTTAGCAAGTCACGGTGATTCACAGGATTCATTTCCTAAGTTATTAGTCTGCTAAATTTGCCAGGCTTGCCAATTTACCACAAACTTTAATATCCCTAAATATTTTCAGTATATTAATATTATGAAAACATTCCTTTTGAACATATTTGTAGTGATATTTGTATCAATTTGTGGAAATAGAGCTCTTCAATCTTGCTATGCCTAGTTTTAAAAGGCATTGGTGCATATACTTTATGAATATAAGCAAAATCTCAGCATTTCATCTTGAATTATCCTCATTGTGTAGAAGTTTCCAGAACACCTTTTCTTTTTTTGCCACATTGTACTTTTCAGACCCTTTCTAATCTGACCAAATTGTCAAATTCTTTCTAATCTGACCAAATTGTCAGGCTAGAAAGTTTGCCACGAAGTTTTTTTTTTTTTCCCCTCCACACTTTTTTCCTCCTATTGAGTAGTGTATTCAATTCCTAGAGCTGCTGTGGCCACACCAGATGGTTGTCTCACAACAGAAATGTCCTCCCATTGTGTCTGTGTCTCTGCATCTCATAGGGACACTGGACGTTGGTTTAAGACCCACCTCAATAGCCTCATCCTTACTTGATCATGTCTGCAAAAGCTACCTCCAAGAAAAGGCTGCATTCCCAGGACTGGAGGGTGTAGGATTTCACCTTATCTTTTGGGGGACACTATTCAATCCACAACAGATGGTTTGGCTTCACAGATTTGTAGGGTGATTTGAAGTTTTAGTTGACTGTTTTCCTTCCTTCCTTTCTGTGCTGGGATTTGGACCCAGAGCCTTGAGCAAGCTTGGCAAGCACACTATCACCGAGCTATCCCCTGTCCTTGACTGTTTTACGTCTCTCAATAACAAATGGATCTTAAACAACTCAGTTTGCCTCTGCTCAGCTCCCACGATGCAGCAGGAGAGAGGGGGGCACCGGGAGATGCCAGGGGTTGAACGGTCAAAAATAGAGGACCCAGGAACCAAGGTGGGTACCGAAGGGCTAAAGATGTCCAGGGAATAGGCAGGAACTGGGAGAAACTAGAGTATGCAGGAAGGGACCCTAAGATGGCAGAGTCCTGGCTCCGCTGCTTTGATGCCCAGAAAGCTTGCCTTTGGGGAGGCCTGGGGGCGTGGGCTTCTCGCTCTTCCCTCTGGTTCTGGCAACCACCCCATCCTTGCCTCAGAGGGCCGCTCCTTGTTGCAGGACGCCTTCCCACCGCTGGCGCCTCTCCACCACCCAATCCAGCTCCTGTAACGCACCTGTGGACGTACACTCCTGCGCACCCTCTGAAGCCCTGCTCCAGAGTCCCGGGTCCCTAAGATCTTCCCCAGGCCTTGCCCTGCACCAGGTTGCAGCTCCCGCTGTGCCCTCTGCACACCTATTCCCCAAAGCCCTGCTTTGCAATCAGGCGGGGCTTGATCAAGCCTTGGTCGAGTCCTAGAGTACCTTGGTTCTCTGCTTCCCTGGTCTCCCTTCCGCGTTCTCCCCCTAGCAGGTATTGGCAGTACCTGGCCCAGACTGAACCGCTGTGTTCCTGGGGACACTTGAAAGCCAGCAGGCTGGTGCAGCTACCGCACGAAGGGGGGCGGGGCTGGAGGGCGGACCTGGAGAGGAGGGAGCGCAGCGCCTTGCGGGGATTGGTGGAGGTGGAGAGTGGCGTGGCACGGGGCGGGGCCGTCTCCAGGGGAACCTGACGCTTTCCGCTAGCCTGGACTCCACTGCGTGGGCGTCCTGCTGGTGGCCTCGGTGCCCGCTGGTGCTAGTTCTCCGAGCTCGGGTGCGGCTCCAAGGGCCAGGGCGGTGGCGCGGGGCTGGTGTTGGAAGGGACGGTGGCGTCCCTGGGCGCGGGCAGACTTTTCCCGGTGGCTCCGACCTTTGAGGGCCAGCTGCAGGGAACACTGAGGCGCAGCTCCGGGAGGAGCGTGATGGCTTGACCCGGGCGGGGGCTGTGGGCGCGGTGGGCGCCCCCGGTATCCGCAGCATCCTGAGGGCGGATTGTGGTCCCTGGGTCTGCTTCCAGGGTCGGAGAACAGACACGGAACGTGGTGGCTTCTAGATCCCCCTGGACTACGCAGCCTCAAAGGCTTACAGCTCCAGAGGCGCGCTGGAGGAGCAGGGCGGCCAGTCCCCTGCTGCCAAGGGACTGGACAGTTACGCCTTCTTCACCGAAAGGTGCAGGGGACCCTCGGGCAGGGAGGTCAGACCATGACCCAGGGGCCAGAATTAGCCAGGTTTCACAGTTGGGGCCAGACTTAAAAATCACTAAATATTTTACAAAAACTGGTCTCTGTAAAGAGAGAAAAGCCTCAAAATTGTATTAACAAGCGCTGAGGGAAATGTCATATGTTATGGGTGACTGGAATCCTATGCCCCAACTCGCTGCTCCCTTTTAGCCTGCAACACTGCCTGCGGGTCCATTTCACTTCCTAGTACATGGAAGGAACTGTTCCCCAAGTTGATACAGCTCCCTTACTGCTGTGTTGTTAACAGTAGGGGCTACTTTGGGTCAAGGACTGCCCCAGAGCCTTATCTGTAGCATCTCATGAAATCTACCTGCAACTGGCCCTATCATGCCTGTCTTTGTGTGGATCCAAGGCCTCTGGACCCCAGCACCCTCAAGTTGAAGCTCCAACCCCAGTGTGATGGTCTTCAGGGGTGGACCCTGGGAGATGAGTGGGTTGAGGTGAGAACAGGAGGGTGGGGCACTATGACGGGATCTGTGCCTTATAACAAGAGGAAAACAGCCAGAGCACTCGCTACTCACCCTCTCTCTGCCACTGAAGTCACTTTGAGAAGGTGTCATCTGTCAGCCAGGAAGAGAGCGCTCACCAGGAACCAAGTCCACTAGCTTCATGACCTCAGACTTCCACACTTTAAACCTGTGAGAAATAACTGTCATTGTTTAAGACCTGACCTCATCTGTCCCCAGTCTGTGGTGGTTTGTTATAGCTACCTCAGCAGGACTAACAGAGTTTCCGTCTTACAGAGGAGGAGACAGACCATCAGGAAGGGTGAGGAGCCCATATAGGCCAACCAGTGGGAGGTGCCAGACACAGGTGGCCACTTCCAATGACCCTATGGTGGGTTTTACAGCTGACTGCTTGTGTTACGATTGTCT